AATGAAAAAGTGTTATAATGCATTTTTGAGGTTTAATAGGAGAAACACTTCATGTCACATAACTTAAAGAACTAAGTGAGTTCATTAGTTGTTTTTTCTTTTTTCCCTTTCTTATAACTCTCTCCTTTCCAATAAAATTCCCTTTTGCCGACAAAAAAAAGTCGAGTTTAGAGTAGGAGATAAAGTTAATTTTAAGATTATGTAGTTTATACGTACCATAAGACCAATCTTATTTGATGATGATGCATTAGCATGAATGGCCTTATACTCATTCATCTTCCAATCAGTTTTTCTTCCATTTGGAGCTCTTCCACTATAGAAAACCATGGTTCTTTTCATTCCAATGATTTGATTAACTTTAGAATAAACATGATTAGGAGAGCCGGTAGCTTTCCAGTAACCGGTAGTTGTGAGCCTCTTTGGCCTCCCTCCTCTTGCTTCACTTTCTTGCCTTGGAATGAAAAAGAACCATTGTTCAGTGTCTCTCATACTTGCCTCTCCTGAAATTTCTGAAATCCAGAGAGGAAAACAAGAAGAATATTAGTTTATAGATTTTATGGTATGATGAAAATACTGTTTTTTGCTTAAGCATGTGGATTATACATCCAACATATATAATATTATACTTATACTTCAAGTACTGACAAGTATGTACCTTTCACACACAAAATACAAGCATGTAGAATGTGAAAATAATGATATTGAAGGGAGCTCAAAAGCATAATTATATATTATTTATATGTTTGAAAATAAGAAAAGTAACAGTAATTATGGATTACTATAATTAACTAAACATGGAATAGTAAAGTATCATGTGTAACGATGTCTATATATTTCTAAGTTAGAAGTGTATGCACAATTACATGAAATAAAATACCATCAAACAAAGTTTAAAAAATGTAAGAAAAAGGTGAAGGAATGAAAGATTTTTACGTGGGAGTTGAGAAGGGTTGTAGGCATATATATCAATGACTGGTATAACCCTGTTCATGATTTCCTCTTTCACTCCTTCAAGCTTGTTATGAAGATAGAATGAAATAATTTCCTCTTCTGTAGGGTAGAAACGATACCCAGGTGCCATATTTTCCATTTTATTATCTTCTTGATACAAGCAAGTTCAAGAAGAAGAAATATTACTTAGTTTTTCTTTGTTATTTTTGTTGGGGTGCAATTCTCATGCACACCTCGTAGTGTATATATATAGAGAGAGTAGATTCAGCACCATTACTGGTTTCGAAGAATTAAAGAGTGAGAAAGTTTGGCAAAGTAGCAAAGAGACAAAGAGCGATACGAGTGAAATTAGAAAAGTTGCATCATAATACTTCTGGGTTTACCTGGAAATTTCCATGACACGCACCACGTGCTTCCTACGCTTTGTCATTTTCTATATTTTCTCAAAATTCAATGGTTGCTCGGTGGCTATTTCATTTTATGTCCTCAATCGTGTCTTAAACCAATAAAAAGTATCATCTAATTAAAATAAAAAACCTTTAAAATATAAAATAATATTTTATATTATTTAATGTAATTTTATTGGATGGGAATATGAAGATATGATCTATTTGAGACATATGATTATTGTTCCTATTATTTAGGGACATAGAATATTTGTTCTAAACAATGTCTCAATTCGTGTCCTGAGTTGATCAAAATGTAATTTTTTATTAGTTTTTGTTTTTGAAATTTTATTTTATTCATGTGACAATATCGTTGAACTGGAATATTAAAAGAAACACAATATCTCTATCCATTATTTAGTCATGCTTTTTGAAAATGTATTATTGAGTTACTTTAGGTGCAGATATCTCTATCACTATTATGTTTTTTTTTAAAAGGTATTATCTATATTTCACATTTTTTTTATAGTATATATTTTTCTCATTTTAAGATATATGTAAGTATATAATTTTTTATATTCATATATAAATTTATTTGTTTATATAGAAAATTCTCAACTTATATTATACACATAGCATAATTTCTAAAATTGTTAATATTATATATGTTCCCACTAACAATTATATTGTCTTATGGAAGTGTTTTAGAATTTTTTGTTGTTGATAATGTCAAATTTTAAATTCATACTTTTATTTGTATTCTTTAACTAATATTCATAAAACATATATTATTATTATTATTATTACTGTTATTACATATGCTTTATAACCATTTTCATCTCCATTATTGTTTTTCAAGAAAAAAGTATAAATGAGTAAAGTCAAAATAAATTTATAAGGCAATCACGGAGATTGGCTATCCAAATAGAACAGGGCATTGCATGTTTGCTTTTGTTTAATTCTCGTTAATCCATAATCAAGACTTCACCTTTGCTATTTCAGCAATTGAGTTGAATTGAAGATAATATCATTTTTAGCTAATCAAATTAACTATGTTGTTGTTAATCATATAATACTCCAAAACTTACTATACTTTATGTGGATTGACATATGCATGTGGTCTGTAAAATGGCTTGGCTTGTTGGTTATTAAGGTAAAGTCATACTAAAGTCGAGCCAGTTGTAAAGAAGTTGTTAAGCAAAATAAGTGAATCTTCAAGTGGAAAAGATATTTAAAAAAAATTATGGTTGATCTTTACGAAGTCTACATAAAAGAACTCCTCCTCGCGATGAAGTGATTCCCTTTCTAATCAAGACATCCATTGTTGGCAATCTGTCCTGGCAAAGTCCCTACGCGAAAAAAGTGACCTTCAAATATGCTTTTGATCGTGATCAGAAATTGGTAGACATGTGGATGTGTTTGTGCAGGTGATGATGCTTAACAAGAAGCTTGTAATACCAATAAGGTTGTGAGCTTGTTTGTTGGATGTTATATAAATTAAGCTCGATATTAGGGAATGTTATAATCCCCTAAGCCTTAGTCTTATTTATTTTTAAAATGTGAATATAATAATATTCACCTTCAAAAAAATGTGAATGTAATGTTAATTTTAGATTAACTTCATCTAACTAAACGGTTCTCTCCGATAACAAGCACTTCAATTTTAGTTGTCCTCTATAACCCACCCACCACGGAAAAGACTATGCTGCTTCGTCCATACTTAATATGACTTGAATAGGTATACTATCTATTAATGAAGAAACAAATGATATTTTTACATTTAGCTAATAACATGAAAATGTTATTATATGTATAAATATAATGAAATAATTGTCTCTTCAATTTCATTTTTACTTTGCTTTACATATCACTTGCATCCTCGTTAATGAAGATGATACTTATATGACTTTGCACCTAAAGATATATATATATATATACACAGGATTATATATATCTTTAAAGAAAATTTTGTGTTTTGCATTAAAATTTGTTGTTTTTTTTAAAGAAAATTTTGTGTTGTTCACTACAGCTAAAATTTGAAATTTAAATCAATATTACTTAAATTGTATCTGATTCATGTGATCTAGTGTCTCGCCATAAAACATATGTTTCTAGATAATGATTTTCTAGAAAAAACTGAAACTCAATTTATTTGGTTAAATAAAAAACAGAAAGGTTTAATTTAGCTTCAACTTTTGCACACAAAATTAAATTAGCATGAATACAGAATACGATCATTGGTTGTGCATCGTTTAGTTGGCTATTCCTACATGTTGTGTGCAAAGAAACATTTGAATATATTTTCGTGACAAAATTTCAAATAGATTGAATATATGGATTTGTGAGTGGCAATGCATTCGTGTGAATAGGTTACAAGAAATAGAAGTCAATAGAGTCAAAATATGCTTGACCTCTTCCAAGTTTAGAAGCAATAAGTCATATAAATCCAAAAAAAAAATTATTACTAACATCATATTCTTTTGAGTGCTATTTGTTTTATTATGTTTGCTCTTAATATATTATCTATGTTTATTATTATGTCGAAATTGTATAAGATCCATTTTATATGAAATGAACTTATATAATCTTATGCGATATAATCATATAGGTTAGTTTTACCTACAAGAAAAATTAAAATAGTATGTCATTAGCAAGCTTTCACGATTGAATCCAAAAGATTTTATATAATCTTATAGTAGTTTGACATATTAATAATAAATGACCATTAATTGAACCCAAAAGATCAACTTCTTTAATTATCTTATGTTAACTTCTTTAAGTTAACATAAGATAAGATGAATTGTAAATTCATAATTCACTTTTAATTAAAAAAATGTTACATGCTAGACAACAAGCCTTAGATTTTGATGGCACAATTTGTATAATCATCTTAATCATGATCACATTTTATAGTTTATATCAGTACAATTTAAAACAAATGTAATTTCAAAGAAACACACCCCACATAAATTGACTTGTTCTTTATTAGTTTATTATGGTCAATGTCCTCACCATGAAAGATTCATCCCTTGTACTATAATGAGTAATTGTATTTGGTTATTCATTTTAAGAATAAAAATGTCATTATATTATATTTAAATGATAAAAATATTATACTATACTGTTTTTCATGTTATTTTTGATACATTTCTCTCTCTAATATTGAAGATGTTGTACACCCTATATAAATTGATTTGTTTTGTGTTAGTTTATTATGGCAATGTCCCTACCACCACATGTCCACCTTTATACATAGCTCCATTACTTCTTTATTTTTAATTTATTTTGAGCCATAATTGTAAATTACAAATTCATAGCTAAAACTTGAAATTCCACAAAAAATGGACTATGCAAATTAGATATGTTTTTTAATGAAGTATTTTATGAGGAGTAAAAAATTCAACTTGGAATTGAAAAATCTTCTCTAAAAACAAATAAGCTGAATTAGAAAGCCTAAATTGTATTTGAAAAAATCTAAATTACTCATGGCCAATTGGCCATTTTTAAATGAAACATCAAAAGCCCATGTGTCAATGCCTAAACCTACCTGTAATTTCTAAAACCCAAATGGGCTTTTAAAAGCCCTCAAGGGCACATTGGTCTTTCAACACACCACCGAGACTATATATTATCCCATTCCTCTTCCGCAGTTTTCATCATCAATCTAGGGTTTACCTTTCTCTCGTAACATTCAATTTTCAAGAAATTTCATTTTCATTTGTATTTTTTGTATTTGGGTTGATCTATTACTATAGATCTGGAACAAGCGTAGCCCTTAAGATCCCCTTCCGTATTTTCCATGGAAGCGTGTCGAGTCATTGCTGCGCTACATTAACATCTTTTGAGGTTTCTCATTAGGGTTTTCCTTATGAGTCCTCATCAATCCTAACTTGTTTTTCTTTTCATGAAGTATTGATCCCTTTTATCCCGTTTATTTGTCTATAAGGTAAATGGGTTTATGCCCAATTTGTCCTTTTTAGATTTTTGAACAAATGGGAACTCAATTTATTGGGTTAGGTTATTTATCAATACCTCTATTTCAAGTGGGAAATATTTGCTTATTGAAAAAGAATTCTTTTTTGGTCAATTTTTTTTATGGGTTTTCATGTTTTGGTTGTTATAGTTAAATTGCTTGTTTTTTTGTTAAATTTGATTTGGGTAAGAAAAAAGAGGGTAAGGATGATGATTCAATTAGATGTGTGAAAGGTTTATTCCTTTTTGAACTCAAATTTTTTGAGGCATATCCATTCATATACCTGACTACACTCTTTTATTGTTTTCTTTATGTCTTCTATTTATAATGCTAAATTGAATTCTCTTAAGGTTGAATCTTTATTTATATTTTTAACTGATAATCTATGAGAAAACTGAGGGCAAGGATGATGATTCAATTAGATGTGTGAAAGGAATTTTTCCTTTTTGAACTCTCAATTTTGAGGCATATCCATTCATATACCTGACTTGCTGTTTTACTCTTTGCGGGTGTATTTTTTTATTTTTGTTTTTATATATTTAATCAATTTTCGTTTTGGAATTTATGAAAATTAGAACTATTTGTTTGTAAAATGTGGATATTGGAACTCCAACTTGTCTATGTTTTTTGTTAAACCAATTGTAACTTAAAATAAGAAGTAAAGTAGGAGATGATGGTGTAAAAAGGTGGATGAAGTGTAAGTGTAAAAAACTGGTTTCATGGCTCTCAAAATTTGAAGAATAAGAATCTTACAAACGATCTCTGTTGTAAATGTTTGTGGAGAAATTTGAAGGTTTATTTTTAGTACATGGGAAATAAAAAAGAACAAAACATAGGAGAAAGTTTCAGAACTAAGATTATCTGGTAAATAATATAATATATTCATTGTTATTTGGGTTTCATATAATTGTATAATTTATTTTATTTCTCCGTGAAATAAGCTTTTTTTATAATGGTGAATATTATTTGTTTTTTTGGTTACACATCATATCTTATTGATCTCATTAATTAGACATTTAAAAATAAAATTTACTTCATGGAAACTAATTTAGTGTTATCATAACATCGATTACAAATTAAAATTGAGTACGATATGTTAGTTTAAAAATTTAGATATAGTATATCATCTATTATTTGTGTTACTTATAATTATAAATTTATTATGATTGATAAATAATGAATAATATAATGATATGTTAAAAATTTTAATAAATTATTTTCTTTAAAATTTAAAACACTCTTCCACCTTGTAACTATGTAAACCATTACGAAGAAAATATAACACTCAAATGGCAATGGAATATCAAATATCAAAAGCCCAAAGATGACCTATATGCATTATACACATCTCATGAAGTCTTCGTATCACTTAGCAACCCAAAAACATTGAACCTCAACCAACAATCATCTTCCACCATGTCCATTTCCATATAAGAGTGTGTTATATTCTTTTATTAATTTTTCTAGTAACAAAAAAGTGACATACTTAAAGTGAATAAGTCGTAAGTTATTGTCATTTTTTAAGTATGTATTTTTTGTTTGTTTGACTTTGGTTTGTGATCTGTTATCAATAGCTATAATTCTTTTGTTTCCTTTCCATATTTTTATTTTTAAACCTGTTATTTAAGCATCAAACTTTAATGGCATATTTAATATTATTGAAAATTTTCTCTAAAAAATGTCTGAGCGTGAAATTTACAAAGAAAAAAAAAAACAATAACCAAATCTTAATTTCATTGTATAAGGTTATATAAATTGAACAATATTTATGTTATCAACATTCATGTTATACATGAAATTAACCAATTTATAGTAATAAATTTATCATCTAAAAGATTAAATCTATAAAAATAAAGTACATCTAATTAATTTGGGAAAAAGCATATGGATATACAATAAATTCTCTCTCCTAAAAGAATTATGTCTCTATGTCCTTATCTAATAGAATCCTATGTATTAATAATTTTTTTTTGTCAAAATCATAATAATCATTATTTAAACCTACATGAATAGGCCTTGACTATTTTTTGTCGTGAGTGTAAATAGCTGAACAGTTGGACCATCAATCTAGTCAAGTGTTTGTACAATTTTTCTAGTGTTAGTACAATTTTTTTTATGCTTCTGTTGGGTACTACCTTAACCTTTTTTCATACTCCTATTACATAACTAAAACAATTTTAAGGATCAAAATTGATGAAAAAATGGAATTATAAGTTGATTTAATGGTTAAAGTGGAAAGGTTAAGGAATGAAGTAAAAAATGTGGTAGATTCGAGTGTCATTTTATATCAAATTAAAAAATAAATAAAAAAGAGTTATAATGTGTTTAATCAACCTTAAATATTGTTCTTCACATGCACAATATTTAAAGTTCATCATCTTCCTTAAGAACATCAATGATGTCTGTGTTTGAGGACATGGTGATTGATGATGGAGGCAAGGTTCAAAGAGAGGTTGGTGTAGAAGATTACATGGGTTGTGCTTCTGTTCATGGTGTGGGCCCATCTATCGCCATTTTTGATCTATAACATGAAGGTTATTCTTATTAATAACATGAAGGTTATTCTTATTGAAGATGGAAAAACATATGAAGAATGAGGACACTATTATTCATCTTTTCATATGGTTTCAAAGGGTCTTTAAAGCATACTAATGTGGTTGATAGTTTCCTTCCACAATTTACTCAATATCACGAAACGTCTTAAAGAAAGCAAAATAGTCATAATTCAGCCAATAAGTATTATTTCATGCCAATATTGTGAGCTACCGAACTAACACATATACTTTTCTATAATGAAGTATTATCCCCAACCAATTCAATGGTGAAATGTACGTGAGCTTCACTCTCTTCATCATCCCTCACACCCACTCCATTGAATAATATTGTGTTTAGATTTTTTTCGAGCATGAATAAAATTGGTCTTTGTTTTCTTAAATAATTTGTTTGGTTTAAAGTGTATACTATAGATCTTACCCATACACAAGAAATGCATGTAAATTCTTTTTTGATTAACTAATGACTAAAGTTAGGTGCAGTGCCATAGGTACTAGTAGTATACTTAGGTGATCATGACATGTGTAAAAAATATTATAACTTATCATCCACCTAGTTAACATTTTTAACACTGTTAAGTTATTGTATACTTCTCCATCCAATTCTACACTCTTCTGTTATGACTGCTAATACTTTTTCAACCAAACATATGAGTAATGTTTTTCTTTTTCTTTTAAATAAAACAAAGTAAAATGAAAAATAAAAAGACAATTATATCATTCAATTTACACTTATAATAATACTTTTATTCTTAAAATTAAGTAAAATTATATTATTTTGCTCTTAAGAGTATCCATACTGTTAATTGACCAGTTAAGTATGCAATTTTTGTAACTGACGTGGGGCAGAACATTCTAATCTACACGAAATTACTCAAATTAATTTTGAAACAATCATATTTAATTAAATAATTTTATTTCCAATTCAACAATGTGTAGTTATGTACATTATTTTCAATTCTAAGAAACATTTTTGAAATAAGTTTGAAACTGAAAACTTCTCTAAATCGTTTTTTTCCTTCTTCATTGAACTTTTTTTAACACTTATAAACTAGTAATCGTTTTTTAACACCTATAAACTAATAATTGTTTTTTAACACCTATAACTATCAATTATAAACCAGTAATAAAAAATGCATCAAACTTTATTTATTTTATAAATAATGAATATTCAGTTCCAACATTATAATTTGTCTTAAACTCTCACACATATTTTATAATAAACATTATCATTAGTTGGAAATAAGGAAGCTATGGGCGGACACAGATAGGCATTGCATATCTGTGCCTATACTCACACTATTTGAGGGTATCCATGCGGGTAACGGGTACCCAACGAGTTTTCAATTTTAATTATATTTTTATATAATTTATAATAATTAATATATAAAAATAATTTTTACTTAAATAATATGATATGTATATGACAATTTTATGATTATAGTCTCACTAGTAAATATTATTATGAAGTAATAATAAAATAATTAAATTATTAATAACTAAAGTATAAAATATTTAATTAAAATATATATGCGGGTACCCGCAAGACGGATATCATGATATCTGTTCCCACCCATGAGCTATTTTTGTGGTACCCGTTGTGGATATTTTGACGGGTACTCACGGGTCCGGATAATTTTGTCATTCCTAGTTGGAAATGATAGTCACCTACTCCAATAAAATTAGTTCTTTATCCATGTGAAAAATACTATTAATAGTAAAAAAAAAAAAAACCCTACCCTGAATATAGGCTATGGCCTTTGGTTCTGATGGGCCTTTGAACAAAAACAGTTTCATGGACCCGATTACCTTTACATGAGTGAGAAGCATAGTTAAGGGTTTGAATTCAACTCTACCTTAGGTTTTCCTTTTTTCTCTTCATTCTTTGTTATTTTCTCTTCCAATTTCTTCATTATGAGCAGGTCAGGTCAGCCTCCAGATTTGAAGAAGTACGAAAAGCTTCACCCTTTCTACATTTCATTCATTTTCTCTCTAATTTAATTTTTCTTCTATTTTAAATTTATGCTAATACATCATAGCTACTAATTTTCAATTATTATTATTTTTGATGCTGCAGGTACATGGACAAGAAGCTTCAGAGTAAGTTCATCCCTTACTTTTTATTATTGTTGTTTTCATAACTTATGGTGCTGATTTTGTTTTCATATATTCAAATTTTTGTGCGAGATTAGGGCATTTTATTTTTTAGGGCAATAGAAATGTATTTGCTTCAATGGATCTATTTTTTGTTTATTTTCGAAGCTTTTATTCTCCTTATTGTATAATGATTAGAACCTACAGACGAAAAGGAAAAGTGTGTGCGGGTTTAGCCCTGAGAATATGTATAAGTATCATTGAACACATTGCTTAGGTAGCCTTTGGTGTGTGTAGACAGAGCATGATGAAACTATATAGAATAAGATCTTCCGTTTTGTTCTCTTTGGTTCTACCACTTTCGATGAAACGGGAATGTTCTATTTATCTATCTTTTGTCATGTTTTATTCTATTTATCGAATACATCAATGCAGGGATTGTGTGTATTGGTGTTGTGCTATGATTAATGCACTCTTCCGAAAGAGTTCCCTGCAACAGTATTTTGAGAAAATGGGCAGTTGTGTTGCATTTCTCGTTATTGAAAATCACAATAATCATTTTCCCCACATCTTTTTTATTTAAATATTTATCGAATACAACCAAACACAGAATAAAACTCATATTGTGTTTCATCTGGTGCGGGAATGTCTACCAAGCTCTATCTTATTGCATCAAAATAGTTGTCAGGGTTGCATTTGCTGTGTTATTTTATTTTATTTTATTTTGTAAGTACCCTTGTGCCTGTTGTAGATTTCATGTATCGTACGATGTACACGCGTATGGGTTAAACCTGCAAGCTCATAGGGCTTTATCTTTGAAAACAAGTTTTACAGGGATAAATTATACTGAA